AGGGATGAAAGGATAAAGCTCTCGGCGTTGACCAATCCTTGAGAGATGCGCCATGCATTCGACTTCATTAATACTCGCGGTGGCCTACCGATGTATCGAACCAGTGCTACTATCCTCCCAAAGAAGTCTGGTACCAATTTGCCGACCCCGGAGAGATGGAAGGTTTGGTGGGCCATGGGCACTGAGATCGATTCCACGTGTGTGTCGCAGTGGCGCCTCCAGCCGCTGCGCCACATATGCCCTTTATATGTATTGATGGAAAATTCTTGTTTTTTGTTTTGCTGTCTTCATCTTTTACAGAGGTTTTAGTGAAGAGCTAATGCTCTGTGATTTTACCGAAGCAGGAAGAAAAGATTGAACTGCGCTTAAATTAGACAAAGACTCGATTCATGAGGAACACCTGGTGCGAAGGTAAACAAATCAAACTGCCTGGTTCTCCCATTGCAGAGATCACTTTGAACGGGTACGTCGAACGTTCATTTAACATAAAGAGCAACATAAAGGAGGAATTAGACATAAGAAGGAGAGCAGTATGGGCCACCTTTGAGCCACTCAAAGAAGATGCTGACGAACTATGGCACACAAAATTCCACACTCTTCTCTTCGATTCAGCAGTCCTTCCAACACTTTGCTATGCAGCAAAAACTTGGGCTGATATTTCAATCACGAAATCAAGAAAACAAGAAATCGACGCAGCAAACCATCACCACTGTCGACGATTGCGCGAGAAAGAAACGAAAAGAATAATGCTGAGCTCCCACCATCAGTAAAGCCGGGCCATCCGACGGTCCAAGTAAGTAAGTACTTCTTCAGAGCATAAGGCTTGCACGAGGTTGATATAAAATTTTTACTAAGCCAATATTTCGGCAGTTTCGTTTTCATGAGAATCGCAATGATCTGGCTCAATTATCAATAGCCGTTCCGTTGTGCGGATCTTCGTGGCCACACCGAATCGAGTTTTTTAGAGTGGAGCACTTCTCGAATTGGTGGACGAATTCTAAAGACGTACATTACTTATTGGTAGAGAGGCTGTGTCAGAATCGCCCTCCAAAAGCACGAAAACATATATGAAAGCTACTCTTTCGTTAAAGTATATAGCTGAGCCGGGACACCATAGAGCAATTGCTTCGAACTCAATGCTTTTTACTTCGCTTCCTTCACTTCACGCCACCACATCGACTTTTTATTGATCTTAGTCTTTCCTCCTAGTAGTCGTAGATTTCTTTCTGCCTTGCTTCTGACATAGCAAAATCTGTCTAATTAAGGAATATTCATAAACATTTGGCTTCTTATTATCCTAGGTGTCTCCGTGAATATCTCTTAGTAATTTCTTTTTGAAGCGACTTAGAAACGTTTTGACAGTTTTCGATTTTTGGCCGCTTCGTTTCCTAGTTTCCCACATTGCTGTACGGTGAGGTAGCTCATTACGTTCAGGCCTGTCCCCTCACGGTCTATTTTCATCGTCACTAGGATTATCGTCTTACCGTCTCACAGTCGTAACAATAAGCCCAATTGTTCTCAAGAGCCGGAATGGCGATGTACCAACAAGTGTTAGTTCTCTTATCGACTGCGTATTTAAAGCTTAAGGCGAATTTGACGTTTTCACTCAGAATTGTAGGAGTAGCATAGGAAAGTCGCAATCGTTCACGAAGGAAGTTGTAAAGTTGCAGGATAGTAATGGCATGTTCCATGCCATCCACGACGTTTATCGGCCACCTGTGATGATCAGCTAGCAGAATTCTTTAGGCTGAAAAGAAATTAAAGCTTTCGGCGTTCATCAGTCCTCGAGAGATACATCATGAATCCGACTCCAATGAGCATTGAAAAAACGACTAAATGCATATTTGGTTTAAGCAATTAGGTACGAGATCTAATTAAGCATCAATTCGATGTTATTTTCGCAGAAGGGTCTGGTACTCTTAAACCGACCATGGGCGGCCGATAGCTTTGTTGGCTAAGGGTGCGAGAAACCACGTGTGTATTACAGGGCCTCTCTGACCACTACGATAGAGCAGCCATTCATGAAGTTATTCACGAATAGGAACAAAGACCCTGTAACGTATCTTGCCTTTTCGGATCTTTTGACAGTAATCGAGAACGTTCTCTGAACTACTGTGGACTGAATTCAACACCTCTAATTGCGGTTATTGTCATTTTTACACTTTATTTTTACTTAGGATCAAACGTGCTCGACGAGAAGTTATTTTTCTTCCATTGTTTTCGTCACCTCTAAGTCCGTTTTCCAGTAGTTCATTACGCTAGTCATTTCACTGCCTCGCCACATCAAATCCCTTCCATATTCTTGTTGGTTTTTTAAAGATCTTTTTGAAATCCAGTAGTGATTTCGTTCTAAGGAAAATCGATGGAGGTTAGTAGAAATGGATAGATCAAGTTTAAGGTGAACTAAAAATATTTCGAATAAGAAAAAAAAGCAGTGGCAACAACAGCTATCAACAGTTGGTACTCTGAAATCGACAACTTTCTTAGTATAGAATTGAACAGTTGCGTGCATTACTTCGTTATTATATGTTCAATTTTGAATCTTGCAATTATTTTCATTTATTTCTTCAGTGGGCTGTGATAACCCAGAAAATCGCCAAAGTTCGGATTATTTCTCTATTTTTCTTCCAACACGCTTTTTTAATTTACGTTGCTTTCACGCCCCCCAACGGTTTTCTGCCTAATCGCGGCTGTTCCTGAGTGTCGACCTGCGATGTACAGAGGGGGCATTCATCTCTCTAACAGGGTCTCCCAAGCTAAGAAAGAGTCCGGTGTTTCCACCAGGAAGCCTAGCTAGGGGTGAAGCCAAAATTCACCACTGTCCTGGCATCAAAGTCGCATAGTGGCAAATCTCCCTCTGATCCGCAAGGACTGCGACTGCCTGTGGTGGTGAAGATCTGGAGCAGACTTTGGCCAGGTTGATTCAGGATTCCAGGAAATCACAATGAATTAACCAGCAAATCTCCGATAAATGATTATGCTGAGGCCCGCAAAACCAGTGAGGGCGGACCGTTCAAGTATTAAGTAAATAAGTATTTAGGACAATGATAAAATTTTTTATGCTTTCATCTCTTTCCATTAAATTTAGATCCTTTCCCTTCTATCTCTCTCTCGCTGTCTGCTTGACGCTCTATTTCTGTCTTTCAATATTTGACTGCCATTAGTGCTTTCAACTCTATCCTTTAAAGCACCTCGTGTTTGCTCAGCAGAAATAGAAAGAATTATTCCATCAAAAAACACAATATAATACAATGCTAGCTGACGTTTCGGCAGTATCGCCTTCTTCAGAGCCAACTATCCTCCTCGAAAGGCGATCCTCCAAATACAAAGCACAAAAATGTTCCTTCGTTGCACACTTCTTCATTCTGGCAAACATCTCGTTCTGCTTGCTTCGTAGTGCAGCTCGAAGTAGTTTCATTTCGATGCCTCGTACTTGTTGGCTGTTCTCTGGTTGACCGCATATCTCGTGAAGTCGCTTTCGTTTTATAAGCTTCGGCACGACTCGGTGTTGAAAACAGCGGCGGAGGAAGTTGATTTACTGTCTAGCTAAGACAATCTTCTGTCTTAGTGACAATGCTTCCTTCACAAGTCGAAAGTATTTTGCTGGTACATCTTGTAATAGTTCCCAGGATCGACTTTCTCTTAACCTCGGCATTGGAATATGAATGTGTCGTTTTCTTGTTCAGCAAGCGCGAAGTTTTTAAACAGCATACATTTACTTCCATAAAAAACAAGAAAACGACACATTCATATTCCAATGCCGAGGTTAAGAGAAAGTCGATCCTGGGAACTATTACAAGATGTACCAGCAAAATACTTTCGACTTGTGAAGGAAGCATTGTCACTAAGACAGAAGATTGNAGCGGCGGAGGAAGTTGATTTACTGTCTAGCTAAGACAATCTTCTGTCTTAGTGACAATGCTTCCTTCACAAGTCGAAAGTATTTTGCTGGTACATCTTGTAATAGTTCCCAGGATCGACTTTCTCTTAACCTCGGCATTGGAATATGAATGTGTCGTTTTCTTGTTCAGCAATCGCGAGGTTTTTAAACAGCATACATTTACTTCCATAAAAAACAAGAAAACGACACATTCATATTCCAATGCCGAGGTTAAGAGAAAGTCGATCCTGGGAACTATTACAAGATGTACCAGCAAAATACTTTCGACTTGTGAAGGAAGCATTGTCACTAAGACAAAAGATCGTCTTTACTAGACAGCAAATCAACTTTCTTCGTCCTGTTTTCACATCGAATCGTGCCGAAGTTTATAAAACGAAAGCGACTTCACGAGATATGCGGTCAACCAGAGAACAGCCAACAAGTACGAGGCATCGAAATGAAACTACTTCGTGCTGCACTACGAAGCAAGCAGAACGAGATGTTTGCCAGAATGAAGAAGTGTGCAACGAAGGAACATTTTTGTCCTTTTTGATTATTCCATCCTTCAAAGTTGTTTCTCTCTCTCTCTTTCTCTTTCTATCTACCTCTCCTTGTCTTTCTTTCTCTACCACTCTTAAACGGTTTCAGCTTAATTCCTTTAAAATTACACCTCTATCCCTTGTCTTTCAACTTCTGTCTTTCTTTAGTTCGTTCAACTTACTCTATAAATATTGCCTTTCCATCTCCTTTTCTTCTAACCTGCGTTTCTGTATTTGTTCCGCTTTGTCCGTTGATTTGTTGGCATTTCTCACCACTCCATTAAGTCACTCTTGTTTTGGACATTCATAGCTGATGCATTAGGTGTGCTTCAATGGTCACGTACATGTTGTTGTTATCGTTGAATTCTGTTAGTCATTTAAGCATATCACCTTAATCTTTCTACGCAAACTGAATGTTTTTCATTTCTTCTTGAAAATGAACAGTAATGCAATGACTATTTAATAATCTTCGCATTTTTCGCCCTCCCCATCTACCTACAACCACTCCGATATACCATATTTCTAATTCTATTAAAGGTGTTTGGCTAAAAACGCTTCTTGTATTCTGCAACAGAAGACGAATGGGTTGTCGACCGTCAACACCTGAAGTGATTACGGTAACGCCACCCGATCCACCACCTAGCGATATACCAAACGATCCCCCACCACCAAAAGCACGAACCTATCGTCCGTCTATTGCTAGCCTTCAGATACCGCAACAAGACGATTTAATCTCCGAATATACAAGGTTGTTCTTAAAAAAAGTGTTTTGATAATCATCAAGTATCGCACGAGCTTTAATAGTTTCGAACGTTGCATTTTCGTGGGCAGATTCGAAACGATGTCATAGAGACCATTCTACATTTCAACCTTAAACTTAGTGAATAGGCGATAAATCGTTGGCTCTTTTTTCAACTTTGCGATACTTAACAACTTATTTGAATTGTTAACTACTGTTTTTTGTTTGGATGGTAACAAATTTTTGTTGGCAATGATGGCTCCACAGAAATCTGCATATGAGAAAATCTAATCGCAGTTGATCGATATGCATTCGGGACATTGTTACTATTGGGTTAAAATGTTATTTGTGCTTCACGAGGTCGAACTTCTGTTGTTTTTCATCGTATTGTGACGTCAAAGTGGTGAGCCTTTTGCTAACCACAATAGAAGTCGATGGCCCATTCCATTCGTGATGCATATCGAAAAGGAATAAAACCTAAATTCTCGAATGTAATGGATCATGAAGAGCAACAGCCCTTCTACATGATGCGCATTCAAGTCAGAAGCTTACAAATTGCTCTATTTTTTTCGTCTATCTACTTCTTCTTTCCTACCTTGCCACTACTACTTTTAGTGGTAGATCAACAGATGAAGAAGAGCAAGAGAATCAAGATTATCTGTGCGGGACCGACTTCTCATTACAGTGGTTGCTGCAGACATTAGCCGATAAGTTTAATCAACAGTTCGACGAAGAACCGCAATGGATCACTGAACGTCTAAATAGACCAAAATGGGATGGTACGTTAACTAAAATTCTTGCGAAATTTCGCTCGTACTTCTACTTTCCGTTCTGAATTTTCAGAAAATTTTTCTCAGTTTTTGCAGAATGTGCCACTTCAACAGTCATTCGAGTGACATTCGGTTGGGAAGAGCAAAATCTGCCAAGAAGTGTCATTCTCAAGACACTGTCCGCAAAAGATCTGCAAGACGATGAATTAGCAGAGTATCACTATCTCATGTTTAAAAGGTTGTGGAACTCTTCATTGACTAAAAACTATTGTAAAATTAGCTTTTAACTTTCTGTTCCACTTGATGCTCTCTTCAAGCATCAAGGATCAAGTATCTACTTGATACTACAAATAGTTACCGAATAGTTGCGTTGAGTCATTCAAGGGAGTGCAACGCTTATGACTGGACACAAAGATATCCGAAACTTCCGGCACCTAAAATTATCCACATCAAACGACACGCGAAAGAATTCGGTGGTGTGGTGGTAATGGAGGACGTTTTAGAGAGAGCGGTTCAACAAGACGCCGTTAAGGGTCTATCGGTACGTGGCTGCGTGCACAATTCTTAAAATTAATTAAGCCAGTAGTTTTGTACCGTTGCAGTATTTTTGTATACTCTAAACTACGTAGCCTCTTTGTTTTAAAGATAGTCATCACTCTATATCCTATTAATAGAATGTGGTGACATTTGTTGATATACCTCCACACAACTACCGTGTGTTGTCACTGGATGTCAGGTTTCACGAGACCTGGACCAAGTGATTCAATCGATGACAAGCAATATCACATCGGCTGAAAAGTGATCCAGTGCCTTCGCACTGAGTTCGAGCTAAGACCGTTTTAGGCCAAAATTTGTTGGGCATTTCGGAGTAAAGTGAACTAAGAGATAACAAATCTCCATCCGAACCACATGTGCGCAAGAACGAAAGCAGTATCAATCAAAAGAAGATTGTGGGGTGTACATAAACCGTGAAAAAGGACCAACCATCGAATAACGTACCTTTTTTTATAACGTCTTATTTGTTTATTTCTGGGGTCAGCCAATATGTCAGATATCTCCTGTATTCTGGTTAGTTACTGGATTACTATAGCTGAGACCAGAAATATCTTCATACTGCCCTTTCGCACGTCAAATGATCTGCTTGGAGCCGAATGAGTTTCACTGACTCAAACGGTACAAAGCCAATTGTATTTTCACATTTTTCATTCCTCTTAATGGAAGGACATCGGTGTCCTGCACTGTTCTTCCGGAATTGAAACAAAGCGTTGCTTGTTAGAGGTATTACGAATCACTGAACTATACTTTCACTTCCTTTGACTATACCACTTTAGTCAAATACCGTCGTCATTGGGGAAACACATGGGGAAACACACCCACAACATAAATATGTTTATGTGCTTAGATAAAGTAGAAGTCAATCCAGTACAAAAGATGCATATTTCTTGAAGCCGACTTTTCTTCAGAGGAAACCCTTGGTCGATTTACGTTCGTGTTTAACTCTTGTCTACCATAAAGCGAATTCACCGACAATTGTTGCGATTAGTGGATAGAAATCTTTCGTATAAGACAGATATACAACAGCTTGACAAACGGTGTTGCACTTAAAAGTACACACTTAAACGCAGCTTAATGTATCTTTTTAAATTCTTCAACTTGTACAAGGTTGTTGTATTTTTGTTTATTGTTATTAGTTTTAGGTTGTTGTATTAGTTTTTGTTATCAGCTTGTATTTGCTGTTTGTTAAGTTTTATTCGGCTAACGTCTCGATGTCTTCGTCTTCTTCAGATCCAATGGTCCAAGACGATGTCCAAAGTCGATCGGCTTGATGTGGTGTCTATGTCTTGGTATCGAGTCGAATCTTCCTCAATAGAGCATTGCTCTTTGAATTTCCGTGTGAGGTACCCTCATTTGAGCGGAGCCCACTAAAGAAGATTGGACTCGATACGACGGCGGTGATGTCACATCGAGAAGACGATCAACTGCAGGGACCATTCACTCGGATCACCAACTCTGAGGAGGCGAGGACATTGAAACGTTAAAAGAATAAAATTTATAACAACCTTGTGTAGGTTAAACAATTCAAAGAGATACATCGTTCATTTACGCCGGGATTAAGTGAATGTCAGTTTAGCAGCAGATCCATCTGTTATAAAAAAAAAAGAAGGAAACATTCGATTCTCTGGTGCATAGTCGACAATTTAACGCGCGGATACCTCAGAATCTCCAACTTTTTCGATTTTTTGGAAAATTCGCATTTTTTATCGTCGTGGTAGGTCAAACAAAAAAGAAGAAACACCTATGGCTTAAATCTTAGTCTATGGCAAAATCAGGAAGCACATGCCCAAAGGACTCTAGGCGTGATTTCGTTCACAATGAGTTTCTCCCGTTATCAGAGGTGCTTTAGGGACGTACAGTTAACTTTCTTACTTAGGTAAAAGCTCAAGCTAGACCAGTGATTTTTAAATTCATGTTGTCCTAACACTTCTGCCATTTCTTTCACCGTCATCTAACGATCGTTCATGGTGGGGATCGCTTTCCCCCGTAGGTTTGTTGTCAGTTGAAAACTTGCTGCATCCACTTGTCACTGAAATGTTCAATTCTGCTTAAGCGACCGCTCGAAGGCGGCCTAACAGCTTGAGTTTTTATTTATTGGCACATAAAAATGATTAGATTCCCATATTTTTTGCGATGTTTTTTTTTCCAAAAAATCCTGTTGATACGACCTTGAACTCATGTGGTCCAATTCTTGCCCAAATGAATGCTCTTACAGCTTCCATAAGGTGAAGCGGAATGCTTCATCAAAAGAAGGGAAAGAAATCTTTTCTTATTCTCATCACCAATGAGTTGTTCAAATTTTTTGAAGTAGTGCTTTGGACCGATTTTGCCTTTTTAAATGGGCTATGATCTTCATAACTAGCTCTATCATTAATCGTCGATTAACTCAAACACGCTTCACCGATGTCTTCATTCTTCCTTGCCGCTTGCGCCAAGGTAACCCAGCGACGTTGAATCGCTTATAGAGTTTTCTAGATTTTTTTTTATTCTATACGACTCCTCTTTCACATTTATTGCAGCACCTCTTACATTCGACTCGCTTCCTTGCTTCCATCCATCGTTCGCAAAGGTCTTCCAAAATTTGCGCACGGCACCGGCTGCTGCTTAAGGATTTTCATTTCATCTTGAATATCGTTGAACGCTGGTCGAGTCGATTTCCCGCGCAGTCCTAAGGTAGTCGTACTAGAGCGCTCCTACTTGAATTGCAGACAGTGAACTTTTCCCGGACAAGTCCGCTATCAATTTTCCGACAACGTAAGGATGAGAGGTTTGATGGTCCCGCTGCAGGATCGAACCACCACCGAGTAAGTGATGACCGGCATCATTAGCACTGATCAGCATTGCACTATGGAAAGGATAAGAAGGCCATCTAATTCTTTGTCTGGATCTTCTCGTGTTTTGTCGCAGAGGTCCTAAAATGGATCGGAGTTCTGTAGTTTTGGTTTATCGCTTCACGTGGTGTTTTAGAAAAAGACCGATAATGTCTCATCCATAGTGTTATTTCAACGCCGCAATATTTTTAGTTTGAACTAGTTAAAAATTGCCTTCTTTTTCAATTTTCTTACAAAAATTACACTTAGTTGCTTTGCGGTTGTGCCACACGAAAGCAGTCCTCTCCTTCATTATTACCACCTTCCAACGTGTTTCGAAACGGTCTTCAACGAACAGCAAAACTACAATAAGTTCTACACTTACTTGATGGTCTGTCCTCACTGGTCGTGCGGGCCACAATATAATTTCCACCTCTTCGTAGTGTTGCTGGCTTGCCCACCGTGGTTCCCTGGCGTGCTGAAATCAGCCTAGCCAAGGTCTGTCACAGGTCGCCATATGCAGTCGGCACCTTTGTTGATCGGAGAGAGAATTGCTACATGCCACTAGTTTGACAGTAAAACGGTGATGGATCCTGGTAATAGTTTACTCTTAGCTGGGCATCGTGATGGAAACGCCAAACTCCTTCTCAGCTTGGGAGGCCCTGCTTGTGGTGTAAATGAATCACCTCCGCTGTACAACGCAACTGAACACAGAGGACCACCTCCCAACAACGTTGTGACGGTAAACCGTTGGTAGGAACAAGTGCTATTCTACCACATAACGCAGAAAATTGTCGCCAATACTTATTGAGTGACTCTTTGCCCAGTAGATAAACGTCTCATCTTAAGACCGTCATTGTTTATTCTGCAAATATTTCCCAAAAAACCAATTTTTCATCGAATTTTCACGTATGATTTCGCAGAAGAATGGCTTTTAAAAGGATTACTTAGCCGTTTTACAGGTGGATATTGTACGAGATCTGCTTCATCAACTTGCCATACTTCATAGCTTTTCCATGAAACAAAACAGTTGGAGTGCAATAGTAGGTTTTCATCAATCACTGCATACAGTTCAGATTTAGCTCGCCTGTTTTCGAATGCGATAGTGATCTGTATTGATTGGTTAGCGAAATTGAACTAAACGTTTAGCTTTCAGTTGTCGACATAAGCGAATATTGGTAAAACCTTAATTTAAGCCCCATTGCAAACATTCTGTTAGAGTGTAACTGTTGACTTGCCAAAAACATAAGAATTCATTACTTAAATATTACGAGAAAAAGAAAGTCCGACAGTTTTTCGCATCATTTTCCTTTTCTTCATAGGTAGCCGATTTACCGCCATCTTATTACTCGCATATGTCGTCCGGCTACAACGAAATTATGGAGTTTTTCGAACGACACGACGTCAAGCACTCTTGGTTCACCGTAAGTTCTCGGCTCTCTACTGTTTTTCTTCAAAATTCTTTTAGGAGCTCTACGTTAAGATAAAAAGACAGGCGTCCTTCAAAAGGTTAACGTTTTAACATTTGGTTGCTCATGGGCCAAATTTTAACGAAGTAAGAAATAATTAGTCTTCTGCTCTTAGAGATAGGCTATGCATTTGATTCTACTGATAGCATCGTAAAAGTGTTTGAATACTTACCAAACAGGTCTGATGCGATCTCCAGAGAAATTGAGCACTTCGTTTTCTAGAGGCTTGATAAAGTCGATGAAAGCGCAAAATCTTGGAATGGAGAGAAGGGAAATATTGCTATTTGTATGCGGTTATTTTTAAGCTGCTATTTCTGTGCGCATCATTGTGAATATTATAAATAGCGTACGCGTTTCGCCCTCAATTTGTTTATGCAGTTCTTGTCAAGAACTTTTAAATGTAAACGAAAATTTTTTTAAACTCACTAGGCGGAGTGTTGCTGCATCGGCGTGCCAACGCTAGCTTAATACGGTATGAGTCAATTATACATTTAGTCACCTTTGCGATAAGGAATGGAGTGCATAACGCATCTTTAAGGAATTGAACAGGAACAGCACCGGACGCTTTCGATCACTTTTAATTACAAATATACGTACTTTAAAAACAGCACTTTTGCTCATCGTGTTAGTGTTCACTGTGTCAAGGATGCAAATATAGGCAACCGCCAAGTACTTCACATCTGAATACTTACACAAGATGTCGACAAAGGCCTTTGAAGAGGTGCCGCCTAGAGTGCTCGTGCATGGTGAGCCATATGCGGGCAACATCTTCGCGGACTTCGACAGTAAAGAACCACGGATTGCTGCTATCATTGACTGGACAGGTAACTGCAAACGATAGCACTTTCTTAGATCGTCTTCACTATTTGCGAGTAAGAGTGTGGCTCATGCAATTTTTTTCGTTTAACTGGCAAATTTGCTTACTAGTTAAACATTTCCTCTAGCGAAGTCTAGAAAACCACGTTTAAAAGGACAAAGTTTTCGGCGTTGATCAATCCCTGAAGGGTGCGCCATGCATTCGACTTCATTATGCATCGTTGGGGGTGATTGGATGCATATCTAGCCTTTACAATGACTCGCGGTGGCGTACCGATGTATCGAGCCAGTACTGCTAGCCTCCCAGACAAGTCTAGTACCAATTTGCTGAGGCCGGAAGAATGAAAGAGTTAGTGAGCCACGGCCGCGGGGATCGATCCCGTGTGTGTGTGTGAGTGTGTGTGTGTGTGGTGTGTGTGTGTGTGTGTACCGCACGGCGAGTTCGAGCACTGTGCACACTGGTCATCATGGTTATATTTCACATAATACCCTGCCATCAAAAAGGAGTAGGCAGTAGATCAAAAAGTGACGAAATCGTGATTTTAAATTGTTGAGTTTATACGGGATGGATACAGACACTTATTTCCGCAAAAAAACCGAACCGGAACACTGGCTGAAATGAATATCTTTATCAAGCTCGTGTAAGCTCAACAAGTAGAAAGCATGTTGATTATATTACTGCCGAGCTTAAATGATGGTCAGTCTTAAAGCTAATTAGATTGTTTTAGAAAGTCATCCAGGATGCTTCGGTGAGGATGTAGCAAAGGCAATATGCTGGAACCTCTCACCTAAGGTTACCACTTTTTCAATAGCTCAAAAGACTGCGAACTTTTCTTTAACGTGTTCTTAAAACAAGATCGAATCTTGTTGTAAGCCCAGAAAGGGGCACTTCGTAAGAACATCCTAATAAATATGAGGTTACCATTATTATCTTTGTAAATTTCGTTTGTAATCATTATGCATTTACTTTCAACGTTTCTTTGCCACAAAATTTTCCAAAATACTTCTATATAAAGTAAATCCTTTTTTTTCAACAATTCCACTATAAACATTTTGAATTCTTGTAACACTCTCTATAAGGTAATTCGGAAACTAATGACAGGTTTCGCCGCAACACTGGCGGGTCCATGAGGTCATAGATGTTATTTTTCCCACTTCCTTCTTCATAGAAAAGTAATTTTGGGTGCTGAAAACCCGTCATAGACAATTTGTATATCTTGAACCCAAAACTTGTTGGTCTATCCGTGCAGCTGTTTTGTTCAACCGATGTACGATCGTTCTGTAAGCTCTGTTCACCGTTGCAGACGCTTCTGTAGCCGTTGAATCTAATTTAATAGAATTACAGCGCTTTGCTTATATTGAGAATTTGGCGAAGATTCACTACAGCGCATAAAAATGTGCAAAACGTCAACTTTCCGCGGCTTTCTCTTTCCTTCTCATAAGTGGCTTACTGATGATTTATCACTAGTAAAATGCCCTAGATATCGTTATGAAACAGACGTTCATCTAACCAACGGGGTTACTTGACCTAAGAACCAGATCGGTAGTTTCATTCAGAATTTCACATAGAAGTAAACTGGCGATAGAGAATCACTCTGTTTCAGAAGGAAGTTGCAAGGTAGTGAACAACCCTAAACTAGACATGTAATATTCAAATAGTAAACATGCTTTGCGTAACATTGTTCGTACAGCAGATAAACGTTAAGAGCTTAAAGAACGAGGTGATCGGGTTCCATTAATCCCTTTGTGCGTGACACCACTCTGTCTCGTCATTACTTTCCGAATAGCCTACTACATCTTGCCTTCTCTTTATCAAAAGTCACATTCTAACTGAAGAAAATCAGAACCTCTGCAGAGGACGACAAGCACTTCAGGATCGTATCGATTGTGCGACACCGCTTTTGGAGGACTATCACACATTCCTTACAGAAGACTCTCCTGAAGACTGTCAAATTAGTCTAGATACTGTTCAAAATGCATTCGACATGTTTGTACCAGTCGCTGTAGTCACTTTTCTTCAAAAGGTATGCACTCCTGAACCGTTAATAGGGTTTTATAACTGAAACTATCGTAGTCTGTTGGTCTCATTGGAGTAGTAAGCAAAAAATGCAAAATTCTGAGACGTTTATAAAACTGCGAAATTCGCTACATACGCTGCAAATTCGAGAAGTGGAAGAAAAGAAAAAGCGAGGGAATCGTTGTACTGATACTCAGATCTGTCACTCTGCACCACTAAAGCCTTATCGCTCACACTTCACTTTCACGTGGTAATCGAAAACGGTTTTCCAGCTCAATGAATCAATCCACCTTACCCTTTCAAGTAAACATGATTTTGTTCAATATTTAACATTTGCTCTTGTAGGTAATGGCGAGCGAAAACAAGGAGGATATCGAACCGCTCATCGACAGAGCGAAGGGACTCATAAAAACTGTATACACTATGACTAATCCGTCAGAAGAACAGTGACATATTTACAGTATAACACAAAAGTGATAAACTTTTCAAATCTTGCACAATTAAGGATGCTAATTAAAGAAGCAGGAAATAATATGATAATTCCGATTTAAACTAGACGAAACCACTGACTAAGATGGAAGGTCCTCAGTTGCTGTGAGACGGCCATCGTTTACTCTAATCTCTTCGTTCCCTTGAAATCAATATTCATGAGGGTGGTTAACTTCGTGTCTGAGATCTAGCATATCTCAGAAACTTGTACATGTCTTATCTTTTCAGTGAAATTCTGTACATTGGTTGGGTATAGTTCACTCTGAAACTGTGTAATAGCCATGTCAAGGTTTTACTAGCCTTCACCACAGACTGCCGCCAACCCTTGCATGCCGTAAGCAGGTCTCGGATACAGGAAAATCAGCCATTCAGATTACAACTCTCTAATTTTATCTTGACAACAGTAGTGCTCAGTTTAGCCCTTTTTCATGTTTACTTCAAGCATTTCCCAAACAATCTCATCATTCTGGCAGCATTTTCTTTCACTGCAATTTCTTTTGAAACGCTGATAGAAATATAATCTATTCATGGGAATAAAATTTTTTAGTTGTCCATAAGGGATACGGTAGCGCTCAGCATGGACAAGCGTTGCATATGGGTAGAATTCTGAAATTTCAGAACTTTTAAGGTTACGAAAGCGGTAAATGAAACCACACTGACGATTTATAACAATGTAAACTGGAATAGGTAGCTTCTATTGCGGATCTGACGATGCGAGATAAGACGATAAAGTATAAAGTCACTGGGCAAGTCGAACAGAGTAAACAAAGTCACCTTTTATGGTTGCGGGCAAGAATTGTTTACTGAATAACATGGCAGCAGAGAGATTTGCGGAAAAAAAGTACTTTTAACAAATAACGAGTTGATGTGGGCACTGATTGGTAAAACTTAACTTTTCTGCTGTCTGTTGTGTACATATTCTCGAAGTTATCCTTGACAGCACACTAACAAAAGGTAGCTAGAGAACTAGCAAGGATTTAATAGGAGTTCATTATGATAGAGTGTATTCACATGGTTCTCGATATTCTTGTTGAGCAAACACGAGGTGTTAATTTAATCTCTGTTCCGTTAAAGCTGACATTTCGACAGTATCGCCTTCTTCAGAGCTCAGAAGGGTACACTGATATGTAATTTACTAGCACAAACGCTTCAACAGCACAAACAGAAAAACGAAAGCCTAAACGATAAATATACGATCTGCAGCTTTTCGAAAAACGCACCTTTTTTTGCCTGCCTTCCAGCCAAGAAGAACAGCCACTTAGAGTCGCATATGGTTGAAGACAGCACCAACCCTCCTCAAAAGTAATTCTGAGATATGGAGCTAAATCACGTGTTATCTCTAGGCATTCTTCCCTGCTATTCATTCTCAGGTTTTTGGCATTTATCCAAAAGGCTTCGAGATGTTTGCCCGCTAGTGTTCCTAGTCAGCCCCGCATCTCAGAATTGCATTTTAATGAGGGGTGGTACAGTCATCAACCATATACGACTCTAAACGGCTGCTCTTCCTGGGTAGAAGGCAGGTTAAAAAAAGCGGTGGGTTCTTCGACCTAGTAAGTTGCGTATTAGTGTACTCTTCCAGGCTCTGAAGCAGGCGGAATAAAGAATAAAAAGTAACACCTCGTGTTTGCTCAACAAGAATATCGAGAACTATTTGATCAGTGCCGAGGACAACAGAAAGACGATCTTGGAAACTGTATCCACATGGTTATGATAGTCGTGTAGTACCACAAAAGTGCAACACCCTATTATGTTCAACTTCTATCGACCAAGTAGAGCGAAGGATTGCGCTTGGGCTGTAGTGACCAATTAATCTTCGAGTAATCAGGCTGTCCACGACCAATGTTCAAACGCTGTTCGCGAGATGGAAAATATTTTTGCAGATATAAGTTCACTATTGTGAAAAAACTTCAATGTGGCCGTAAGCAGAGGATTTGGAAAAACTTTTCTGGGCCATGGAATCGTCTTCAGAACACCAAGTAATGACAGATATAATAAGGGTTAGCACGTTTCAGCTACGCATCTGGAAAGGCCATCGGTTTTTGTCGGATAAACAAATTTTAAAAAAGACGTGAAAAACTCAGTCATTTCTCATGTTTTTCATGTTTCTGACTTCCCGCTCATGCTCAACATAGAGATGATCTCCGAATGTTCCAGTGTGCCGATGTGCCGATGTGCCGCAAATCTGGCTCGAGAAGTCAGCTTAATATGTAGAAAAAATGTAGGTAGTAGTGAAAACAGTGCACTCGCTTTCTCATGCACCCCCTTGATTTCACGGTTGATTTAGCAATACGGAAATCTGGACGCTATGTCAAGTGTGCCGGACACGTGAGGTGTCTAGTCCGCTGCCGGTTAACGGGAGCCGTTAGTGACTGAATTAAACGGAACTCTGAGCACATGGGTAAAAAAAAGATGCTAAACTGTTTGTCAAACTTTTCCATCAAAACCTTGAATAAGAACTATGATGATCTCTATGTCATTCAAGAAAACAGAACTCACCGCGCTAGATATGAATGGAAAACTAACAGGAGTCCATAATTGTCGCTTCTCGTTCAATGGGACGACATATGAAAGATTGGATCTCCGTGTTTTCATATTTTTGTAAAAAACAAAACTAACAAATCCGCATTCCTACTTTTATCGGAGTCGGGAAGAAAACAGGAAACTAGTTGCCGGTTGCGCCGTCGTCGCATTTCGACGATGTACTAGTTGATAGCTTCAAAATCGAACGCCTTTCTATAAGAGGAAAACGTGATGTCGTAGTATATAAAACGAAGTTGTAATCGCTTCTACTTCGCCTTCAATGCATTTTACGTCTGCTCTCTTGACGTCGACAACGTCCTAAACTTATACTTTTCAAACCAACCGTAACTTAACCTCGACATTGATAATCAGTACACTCCTGGATTAGCCAAGTAAACCTTTTTATCTAACTCGTGTTAGCTTAATAATCCACGAAGATCCTAAGGCTAGTTTGTCCCATAGTTCCAGGATTTCTGGCAGTTTTCTGCTACAATGCTTTCCTTTAAACTAGAACTAGGCGGTAAACGCTCAAGAATACTCGTGTTAACAAATTGCCTTTAATGTTAAACAATTAGACGATGTGCGAGCCCTTCGGGTTTCTGTTGAAGTCGTTAACAAAATCAAAACTAGCACCTTGCATTGGCTCATAATTTAGTGAGTATTAAAGAAGTTCGACTAATAGCCAAATTCAAGTTATCGATGTAAACTCGTAATCTGCAGCTCTTGTAAGCAATGCTTGTGATGGTTGCATAAGCGTTCGCTTTCAGAGATGTCTTCCGACAAAATGTCACCGTCGCTTCATCGTTCGGCGAATTTTGCAGTGTTCCTATCGGGTCTTGCGTTCATAGGACTGGTTCGTATCACTGTTCTCTTCACACGTATTCGAAAAATTTCACACATTTCTTATTTCTTAAAATAGAGTTTTGGTTTAAAAAACAACTCAGCTATAGTGAGTAAGTAAATACAATTTTCTATATGATTGAGATTACGCGAGATTGGTACAAAACTTTTATTCGGCTAACGTTTCGGCCGCTTCACCTTCTTCAGAGACGCGTTAGTCCGATATAGGATAGATACACGATATGGAAAATTGAGTTAGAAGATAGACAGCGAAGATAAGATTGAGATATAAGAAAGAACGTTTCGACGTAAAAAGAGAGAAGAAACGAATAGGAAAAAACATTTGATTTGATTAACGAAGACATCAAAAGTGAATGATTTGATTTTTGAGCATATTTCTGTGGAAGTGATTTCTGACATAGTGATTTATTTCTCAGCAAAATCGTGCTTTTTACAGACAGTATCTATGCCTACCCTGTTTACGATGATGAACACAATAGAGGAGGAAATGGAGCAGTCTCGAATTATCTACGACGAGATGACGAACCTTATGTGGAAGGATCTCATCACTGAAGGAGAACACACTCGAAAAATTCGAAGTCAACCAGGTAGCAATCTCTGCACAATTGTTGCGGTTTTAGGTTACAAGACCAATTTCAATTTCACTGTATGAAACACGAAAGTGAGGCAATTGGACAGAATGGAACTCAAAGAAATATATCCACCACTCCAAGCCTGACTTTTTTAAAATTTTTATCAAGCCATAAAAAAAAAGCTTTCGGCGTTGATCAATCCCTGACGGATGAGCCATGGATTCGACTTCACTATGTAACGCTGAAGGCGATTGAATGCATATCTGACCTTTACAATGACTCGCGCTGGTCTACCAGTATATCGAGCCAGTGCTGCTATCCTCTCAGACAAGTTTGGTACCAATTTGCCGTGCCCGGAGGGATGGAAAGCCTGGTGAAATCTGGGCACGTGGATCGATGCCCCGCCTCCAACCTTTGCGCCACAGTCGCCACTTTATTAGCCCATAGCTGAGTTAATGTTGCGAAATATAACTTCTATGATGCTGAAGTATTTGCAAAACTCCGAACCACAGGTGTCTACGGTGGTGAACGAACCCTCTATTGTCCTTTCCGGAGAATAGCGCATTCACCACCACACCATGCGGGTCCTTCGTTTCGCCTGTCTTACAGCTAGCTCTATCGATCACTTTCCATCAGCAATCATCCGTCAACGAGATTGATCTGGAAAGCTCAAATCGGCATTGAAACCAGTTAAGCTGAGGCTATAGTTATTATAATAAGCTGAGGCTCATAATTACTAGTTATTATAACTATAACATCAGCTTAACTGGGTTCAATGCCGATTTGTGCTTACCAGATCAATTCCGTTGACGTGTAATTGCTAAGACAGGCGAAACGAAGGAGCCGCATGATCTGGTGGCGAACGCGTTACTCCCCGGAAAGGGAAAGAGGTCATTCGTTCCCCATCGCAGACACCAGCGGCATGTTGCAAAAAATTTGACAGAATGAAATATGCGCCACCATTAAACAGTGCCTACTTCCTCATATCAAATTCTACGGAGAAGCTAATGGGCTCTAGTGTAGGATACGACTGTTAGAGGTTAAAAATCAAAAGTTGGAAGGCGATATTTTCATGATGGCTTTATACTCCAAAAATCAAATTGAATTAGTCAAATATTCCAATAGATCAAATAAGTATTTTCTATGCTTCTAATTATATAAGTATTTCAATATTTATCCTTTATCCTTTTTTGTACTTATTAGGTACTGCATATGATCGAATATCGGTCATGTGTCGTTCCAGATAACGTGAGTGGGACGCCCGCAGAGTTATATGGTGCTAATACTGCATCTGGGTATGTGGGGCAAGGAGTGTTAGAAGCTTCCACGGATTTGAGCCATTTATGTACTGTTGGGCCGAAAGGACCGCCGGGGCTCAGAGGAATTTCAGGTAAGAACGTATGATGGTCCCAGTATAGTAATAAAGACTAATACGACCATACAACAGTTTAAATGGAAAGAAAAATGGCGTAAAATATAGGTAACGATGGTTTCGATGGTGTGCCTGGGAAAAGCGCCGTAAGTGGAATAGAATTAGAAGCGTACGCTGCTGGGGCATGTGCTCCATGTCCGGCTGGACCTCCTGGATTGCCAGGCTACAAAGGAATAAGAGGATTTAGAGGACCAAAGGTATTTTCCTAATATATTTGTGAGGATAATTTAAATCACTTGAAGTAGAGATTTTCAGGGAAGTAAAGGAACTCCAGGAAACCCTGGAAGCGATGGGAATATCGGTGAACTTGGACACGAGGGAAACCCAGGAATTCAGGGACCGCTCGGCGCGCCTGGAGAGAGAGGTCTCGATCTTGCTACTTGCCTTTTATATCTATTTATAAAATATGGTATAAATGTGCAGGCGCTCCTGGTGAAGACAAAGTGGAATCTACGAAAGGAGTTCCTGGTCCTCGAGGTGAAATGGGATTACCTGGAATGCCCGGAGACGAAGGTTTACCTGGCGAGAGGGGAGAGGATATGAAACCTGGGCCATCAGGACCTCCTGGACCAATGGTTTGGTTTTGTTTATAACTTTAATATTTTTTGACACTACTCGGCAAGAATTTAGGGACCTACTGGTGAGCCTGGTCCAGATGGCCCTCCCGGCCATAAGGGAGGAATTGGAGAGAACGGAAGTGATGCAGAATATTGCCCATGCCCAGATAGATCTAAAGACGGCGTTGCTAGCGGTGCTGGACCTGATGTTGGTGTACCAGCAGCTATTGGCGGTGTTTATACTGGGGCCGGTGTAAGTGGCAGAAAGAAAGTATCATTATCCGAAGGTGGAGTCGCAGCAACTGGTGAACCTTTCAAACTGGAGAGTTATGGTAGTGCCAAAATGCCATCAGAAGGACTCCGTGGTGTGGATCATGATAAGCCTACTATCGCTGCAGGCCCACCATATGAAGAATTGGTTCGTATTTCTTACGTTTTCATAACATCTTGAAAAGAAAGTGATAGAGTCTGAGATTAAGGATACCAGTGTTTAAAATTGTAAACTGATTACACAAACCTCGCGTCAGCTCAACAAGATCAGTTCATAAGGACATATAAATAAATATAAATAGATAAATGTCATTTTTATTTTTATAATTTAAGCCTACTGTTGCTGGCACAGCACCATCGGTTACCAGTGAGGGCTATCAAGTGAATCGCGATGGGCGGGTGAGTGAGATGGGAAGAATTGGAATGGTATCTTGTTTCAATATTATGAATCTAATCCGATTTTTCTTCAGGCTCGCTTTGATAAGCGAGCTCTTGCTCGTTCTCTACGTCAACGCCTACTTCTTGCATAGATGTGCCCTCATCACACGTTGCATTGCTCAGTTCGTGTCCTTATTTGGGAATGATCTGAAAACATTTTCGGCCAATTTTTCTGCAGATAATTGTCGAGGCTTCACAAAAATAAAAGTTTGACTACCCTTAACCAATTATGCAATTTTGGAAGGATATTTAAGAGCTGAAATGTTCCTCCTCATTACCTCAGCCAAAAATTAGGCGGGTTGAAGCGACACCTGGAGTGATTTTCACTAAATATTCAAAATTTTGCTGTCACTCAGTGCTAACGTTGGTAAGTATGGCAAACATCCGTAAGATACAGTGATGCAAGATAGGGTACTTAATCAACCATGCGATCTCTTGTAAGAAACAAGGAATGAAAAAAATAAAATATGGTTAATGAACAACCTTCCAAGAAGAATAGGATTTTTGCGGTTTTCCTGAACGGCAACTTCTCACAGGGTTAAGGACTGACCTAGAAACTCGCCACTATAATGTTCATACCTCAGCCTCAACTAAAAGTCATAAGAATCGAACAGATTGTAGTTGTAGCATGCCACAGTTGAGTAGTTAGAGCTGCTCATTCTAGTAACATGGACAGCGTTGTGGTCTTCATTCCGATTTACCGTGAAACAGTCAATCTATCGGGTTCAGTGATCCATTCGCTGTGTGCTTGAAATTCCGTAAAATCCAGTCGTCAAAGATATTTCAAAGATGGTCTACTATCCTTCTAGTATAAGCATGACCTCTCTCGCTACCTATCCGTTAAAGAAATGCTTGTAGAAAACGAAATTCCGGACTGCACACAATAATCACTGTAAATATTCTGAGAACATAATCTTAACGGCTCCAGCAATCATTGAAGAACTGGCATTCTTTTTGTTGTTCATACCTTCAACCAAAAACCATCAAGCAAATAATGATTGCTCGTCACTCCAACACGTCTTCGAAGAACTGTACGACTATTTATTTATGTGATCTTATAAACTGATCTTCTTAAGCTGATGCGAGGTTGGTACAGATCTTCGACTATTATTGTACTTACTGTCGACGGGAATCGCATCAATGTTGTTCCATAGTTATTAGGGGCTTAGGGAATCAGGTTATCGTGTTAGCCTTTATGAGTTGACAAGATTCTTTCCACGTTGTTCTTTTCTCAAACTTCTACAACATCGACACCGTATTCCTTATGTTGTCCAGCTTTTTATCACCACACCGTTGGATAACAGGGAAACGCCGTTGGAAAAGGTGATGTTAATCAGCTTTCGTCGATGACGACGACGATGATGATGATGATAATGATGATGAGAATGATAATAATGATGATGATGACGACAATGATGATAATATTGGTGATGATAACGGTGATCATGGTGATAGTGAGGATAGCGATGACAGTGATAATAATAAAGGTGATAACGATGATGATAATGAAAATGATAGTGATGATAATGATAATGATGATGTTGATAATGACGATGATAATGATGATAATAATAATGATCATTGATAATGACGATGATAATGACGATGTTGATGATAATGATGATAATAATGATAATGCTGATAATTATGATATTGATGATGATAATGATGATAATGATGATGATTAGCACAGCAGGACCTTCTCGCATCGCTGGAAACAAGAACAAACTTCATTGTTTGCTGGAGGCAGTGATGATTACGATGGCTCTCGACAGTGTTTGCGTTTAGGGCGGTCGCTCTTGTCAACGCTTGAGACGGAGCTTCAATATCCACAACGCAGGTCCCCATTCCGATACTGATCGGATTCTTCTTTTCAACTTTGACATTGGAGACAATTTACTGTGCTAGTACTAAATGCGAGACCTTCCCACAATCTTGAGTGTCTTTTGAATATTCTGAGGCGTCATTTACTGATCTTTTTATCATTTTTCAAATACTCCGCGAAAAGGTGTTGAAATTGTGCCAAATCCGACAACATCTCAACAGCTTTCTGAATCAACCCCTTCCGATAAATTCTTCTTCACTATTCATCTCTGGCGATGCTCATCTTCATTATGAACCCAATTATTGCTACATGCTGAATGTATGACATTATAAAAAGGCTATCATTGTAGTATTTATATTAGTTCGACTACAGTACCACTAATTATTATCGTGCTGTGATTTTTATTATAACGAGTTTTTCATGACCATAACAGGTTTGCAAGTTCAATGCCTTTTAATCAGAATACAGTAATACAGAATACAGGTGTAGTAATTAGGACAAGGAAAAGGTTAATAGTTCTCAGGATCGGCTTTCTGGTATAGCCTCGGCATTGGAGTATGAATGCGTCGTTTTCTTGTTCAGCAATCACGAGGTTGTTAAGCAGCATACATTTACTTCCATGGATTACAATGCAACAGTCAGAGCCGCTCTTTACGTGACTTCCTATGAGGAAGATTGGAACAGCTGATTATAGTCTCATATGATTGATGACTCGTGAAAAAGGTTAATAGCCGTTTCATCCCGTTCGTTTCTCGACACATGCTTAAAAACAATTGCTGTTGTATCATAAAAGTGTTTCTAAGGATCTGTGACTATTTTTTGCAAACCACTTCAACGGGCTGGTTTTTATTCGTTGAAATCTACTTTATTAAAATTTGTCGAGAATTAGTTCTTTGACACGAAAGCAAAACTTTAAATCTCGTGGAACCATTTCTCACCATATTTCATTGGACTATAGCCCAAAAAAAACTGCGCTGATCGAAACTGGAAACGTGTCTCATTTTCTTACTCCTGTTTGCCTCTCCCTCTTCTCTTTCTCCTCGTTCTCGTTTTCTCGACACTCTTCATTTTTCGTTCTTCTCTCTTATTCATTGCAATACTACATCAGTGGTAACGATAAAGTGACGTGAATTTAAAGGTCATGTTTACTGCCGTTGCGTTGGAGTGCTGTGCTCCTTTCGATATCCGTCTCCAAGAGAAGTACGGATGGCATTCGAAAATAAAAAAAAACTTGCCAGCTCCATACGGTATTCATAGGGTTTCTTAATGAATGTCCATGAATAGGGTAATAGGAAATCTTTCATCAACAAGTCCGTGTTGGCAAATAATTTGTGTTCAACTCTATTTTGTATTGGAGCGGGTAGCGCAGTGCTAGTGGTCTCACGCGTTACGCGACAGCTCAAATACGCAACTACCTGTTCGACCCTTCTCCGGGGGCATAAGGCCTATCATCATGTGAGCTTTCGAACCTGATACCAGACTTTTCTGGTACAAGCTCATTGTCTCCAATCGCCGCCAAAACGCCCTAGTGCGCCCACCTCGGGATTTCAGGAAGAGGGTCGGAGTGGAATTCAACGAGATTCGCGATGATGACAAAAAACCTCCAACAGCAGTCGAAGCCACTCTCAAAAGGTTTCGAAGTTCTCCATTAACGGTATATACGCGAAACGATTCGAATATAAGAAGCGCTGGAAATCTCAGTGTGCTAAATGTAGAATCGGGTTGTGTGATAAAAAAAATCATAATTTCCTTTCTAAAAGTTTGTTCAGTTTTATAGCATCGTTATGCCGCAAAACATATTCCTTCTGTACTTGAACCTCAGCTCGTTAGTACCGTCTTCGCAAAAAGTTGAAGGTTCTTCTAAATCGTATGAAATGCTGAGATATTTGCAAAACTCCGGACCACAGGTGTATGCAGTAGGGAACGAACATGCACTGTTGTCCTTACCGGGGAGCAGCGCACTTCACCAGTACACCATCCGGGTCCTTCGCTTTGCATGTCTCTCAGCTAGTTCATCGATAGATCTATCTCTCATCGAGTTATAATTCGAAACATAACCTGCCATTAAGAAGAAAAAGGCAGTAAATAAAAGAGTTAAGGTTCTTCTAAATATCCTACCTGATACTATTTCCATATACATAGATGACTGCTTTGTCTTTTGCTCAACACAAGAAGAAATGGACAAATGTTTCGGGTTGTTGAACGAACAGTCAGAGCATATTAAGTTCACCCGAGAAAAACCGAAAGAAAAATGGCTTCCATTTCTAAACGTGCAAATTAACCTGTCAGAAAATGGCTACATTACGAAGTGGTAGCGAAAGCCAACTAGTAAAAACACCTTGGTTCATTACCTCTCCTCTCACTCATCTCACATGAAAAGAAGGCTTGTAAGAAACATGTTTCGAACAGCAACCAACTAGAGGAGGGCAGAGAGAGGAGTCACGGAACTTTGGCGCGGCAAATAGCCATTTCTAATGGCTACGAAACTGTAGCTCGGGATAGGTGTAGGAAAAATCCTAGGCCCCCAAACACCTCTAGCGATAAAGAGGTTCCTGTTTATCCTACCTTTTATCTCAAATGATGTAAGTGCAGCTATAAAACGCTGATTAAAAAGGGCAGGTCTAGAAGATTCGGTAAACGTAGTTGAAATGCCATTGAATACCCTTAGGCGCCAGCTAGTTCGTAACCGCTTATACGATCGCCTATGTGCAACGCAAAATTGCATAATTTGCCCCAATGGTAGAGACGGTGATTGCATGAGCTCGGGTACAGTTTATCTGATCTCCTATAAGGCGTGCGGAGACGAATACATTGGCGAAACGGGTGGACCAGACTGTGTCCGCATAAAAGAACACCTGGCCAGAAAAAACATCAACGAAATGCCTCACTAGGCACGCAAAGGACCCAGGGACATAACAGGGAAGACTTTTAAGTACAGGTTACGATCCTCGCACAAGAATCGAGAGCACAAGCGCGCAAAACTCTAGAGGCATTCTGGATTAATTCCAAGAATCCAAAAAATGAACCGCAGGGAGAAATGCGTCATTATCACGCGTGATATTGGACAGTATATAAACCTGTTATTCTGATGGCAGGGGCACATTACGCTTCCATGTGAACTCTGTGCCCTTGGTCTCCACGTGATATATTCAGTGGAAGACTCATGGAAAGCGGTGAGTGTGCAAAGAAGCTATTCTGTGTTTAATGTGATTGAAATCTTGGTTCAATGTTTTTTCTGTCTGGTTATGGAGGTGTTTGGCCGAATAGATTGATGTCAACTTGATCTTTCCAGGCTTTAAGGAAGGCGAAATCCGCTGAAACGTCAGCCTGTTCGTGAAGAAAGAATAAAATAACACCTCGCGTTTGCTCAACAAGAATACGAAGAATTACTTGATCAATGCCAAGGTTAATAGAAAGTCGGTCGTGGGAACTATTTCCACAATTATTTTGGGAAAAATAGGCTTACGTAGCAAGAGGCGCCTTGCCAATCGTTGGCATTATTTGGCGCCTCCGATTCTTGAAGCCTTCCATCTTTCTGGGATCGGCAAGTTAATCCCATACTTGTCTGGTAGGACAGGGGCACTGAGTTGATACATCCGCTACGCCACAGCCAATCATTGCATAGGCCAGATACACATCCAGCAATCTCTACGAGGCTTATTGAAGCCGGGCGCTTGTCGAACACTTCAAGAATCGGTCTGCACCTAACGCCTGATAGCTTATTTTCTATTTCAAATTTACCACTGCTTTTTAAGGCAGATCATGTCAACTAAGCGCTGAACTAGAAACACCTTTACTGCTGCGGATTCTCACTCCTATGACCTCGTTATTCCAACCGATTTTACTAAAAACTTAGTCAGTTTTCGGATTCTCGAAATTAATGGGTAAGCCAGCAGTTCAGGAAAAAATGATTAGAGCTCATTCAACCGATTTTTAAAGACTGCAACTGTTTTCCCTTTCCCAATCATCGGTACACCTATCATCGTTTTGACTATGGTGCCGACGCTTCACGGCATCGTCGGTCCGTCTCTTTCTTGCTATGAATGATCCGCCTTCATACTGTTGTAAATTGTTTACCGATTTCAGACGAATAGACAAGGAAAAAAATCTAGCCGTAACGCCCTACACAAAACACTTGATCCGTGGCATGCGGCGTTTTGTTGTTACTAAAAATAGAATTTTTCACATAGTTACACTAGAGTTTCAATAGAATTTAGTCAGATCGTAGAGGAACAGACGTTAATGTGGACTAGATCAACACCGTGAATAATGAATAAGATGGTTATGAATTCTTGGCGGCGACCAGTATTACGGTGATGTTGTCCCGCTACATTTGTAGCAAATCCACTAAAGTTCTCTATGGTAAAAAAATGTAGATCACTTAATGGATATATTGATGATTTGCCTGCGCCGAAGACATTGTCGCGATCCTTCATTGAATCCACCAAAATGGACAGGGGCACGGTGAGTTAACTGGACTTGATAGTCGGCGATTGCCCACGTTGAACCCAGACGAATATCCTGCACCTGCGATTGGATCAGCGCCCTCCATTGTACAGCGCTTAACGTGCCGTCAACGTTTATCACGCTTATCTATTGATACAAAAAACAACTAAGAAGTTGAAGAGATCAATCCCATAAGGGAACGGAGAAATGAGAATGAAACTAAAATTGTGTAGCAAAGCAGAAGGAAAAAATGAAGACGAAAAGTGTTTGGCCAAAAAGCATGGCCTACTACGAGAGATGGAATGGTTACACTTCACAGCCCTCTTAATAATCCTCAGTATAGCATGTATTTACCAAAAAGCTCTTTAGAATCCACGTCATGACGGTTTGGAGTCCTCGACCTGCAAGGATCACTGGTTGCTTTCACGCAGATCACCAATCGCATTGAAAACTACTTGACCCTTCTATTATTTTCGCCAGCAGTAAACATACTGAACGTTTCTTTTTTGGCTAGCTTTTCTCTCTACTAGGTCAAGGTACCCTATAGACGCTTCAGCAAGTACAGATTTTTCGTTTGCTAAGTCTTATTCTGATTTTCGGAGTCACGCACACATTTCCTAGACCACTTTAGATTGAGTTGTAGTAGAGAAATATACATTAAAAATATATTGAATAGATTTAACTGAAATAATTCGTCCACGACGAAATGTTTTATTGAGTTGGTTTTCGACTTTTGACCCGAATAATTTTGTTGTTAAAGACTAGCAGTCATATTGGAACTTCTAAGCGTATGTAAACAAGTACATGTTTATTTACGCATCAATAACTACATGTATTGATTGCCTGAGCGGATTTATTGGTGTGTATGGATCAATAATCTGCTCTAGGCGGATTCGAGCGGAGCTCAACGAGTGGGAGGTTTGGCAGGAGACGGCTGGAACTAAGAGAGAGGGAGAGAGAGAGACCTGTGTATCAGGCGGCACAGATTTTCGTTTTCTAATCCCTCTTTTCTCGCTTGACGTACAACGCTCCACCCTAAGCGAACATCAGAGCAGTACTAGTCCGTTCGGATATTCTCTTGCTCGTATTACTGCGACATCATCATGGAAACGGTGACAGTACGTATGGCAAGGGGTGATCGCACTACTCCATGGGGATTTGGCGTCACAGAGGCACCGAATCGTGACGTTATTATCGTCAACGTAAGTCCACCTATTATTATTGTTGTTTTTGTTATTATTATTATCCCTACTGGTTATTTTCTTCATTATTCTCCAGTATCGGATTCCTTGGTATCGCTGGATAACATTTCTTTTCTGTGCTTTCTCACTTTCGAAAATGATTTTAGATTAAAATAAGGGGTTTTTCTTACCATTATAGTTTCATAGGCGCTTTCTCTCTTTGTTAGAGAATGTTAGAGTTATAGAATGCTATGAGTAAGAGGTTGTAACTAAACGAAATACCTTCAAAGACATTCTAGTTTTATTTTATTTCTGACAGCAACGGTTGAGTGCACTTAAGCGTTTCTTTCTAATCTAATCTGAAACCTAAACGAATATTTTAGTGACTCCGAAAGAATTGATATTGTTGTTACGAAGGTTGTCTTAACACTCCCTCTCCTCTACAATGTTCTGTATTGGGGTTATGGTTCTGTTTAATTACGGGTAAGAATGTCATAGTCTCCATGGATAAGAAGACGTCGTAGTCCGAAGATTTGGCTAATGGCACATTGTCGTGTAGTAAATATTCTCCGTTTATATATACTTCTATTGGATCTGAAAGCGTTCCTCGGTTGAAATCATAGGCACGCTTAACATCTTGGTCAGCAGTGCCCTCCAGCACGCACTGGATCAGTCGATAGTTCGATCCAGCATTCGGAACTCAACAAACCCTTAAACCAATCTAGTGTTTTCAAATTCATATCAGACTTTCTGGGAGGATGAATGCACCGACTTAAACATCGGTGGGCTACCACAATTCGTTGTATAGGCCAATTCGTCACCTCTATAGGGTCGGATGAAATTTAATGCGCGGTGCATCTTTCAGCAGTTAATCAAAGTGGAAGGCTCTAAATTTGGTCCTTTCCGTATAGGATCTCTTCAGCCGTCGAGGATTGCTATGTGCTTAACGAATATTTTGCTGCAGTGCTTGTAGTTTTTAATGTATGTGGTGTAACGTACAGCGTTCCGTTTGAACGGCTGGAAATCCCATGGCATCAGAGGAATTTGTTGTGCAATTGGGTTGAGCGCAATGACGCTTATCTAAGTCAGACACTTTACCACTTCATTTTTGCAAAGAGGTTTAATATATATTTTTTTAAAGAGTTAAGATGTCAACGGGCGAATTTGCTTTATTTGTAGCCGTAACGCATAGATTAAGCCCGATCAATACGAACTTCAAACACATATTTCTCTGTAACAATAGTAAACTTTGCCAGTTAAAATAAGATTGCCAATAAGATTCAAGTCCTCTCAATCCGCCATGACTAAGCTATAAGTTTTTAAAGGACGCGAGAAGTTTTTCTTCTCATTGTTTTGGGGCTCATGTTTCGAACGATTGAATGACAGTTGTTGTGCTAAGGTTAAATATTTGCAATCAATAGCTTTATTTTATCAGTGTTTCCTGATACCTAACAAAGAAAATTAGCATAAGAATAACATTCAAAGATTGTGCTGTTTATTCGAACAATACCGTGAAGTCATTTATACAACCCTTTTCATATCTTCAAGTTAAAAAACGAACTACACAATAGTAAATGTCCGTTACCTCCTAACGGTTTACCGCTTCATCGTGGCTGGGAAGTGTTCTTATGTGTCGGACTGCGATGCACAGTGGGAGAATTCATCTCCTAGCAGGGTCTCCAAAGTTAAGGAGTCCGACTTTTCATCAAGAACCTCAGCTAAGAGTAAATCAATACCAGGATCCACCACCGCCCTGGTATCAATATTGTATGCTAGCAAATCTCCCTCTGATCCACAAGGGCTGCGACTGCATGTGGTGGTGACGACCTGGGGCAGAGTTTGGCCAGCTTGACCTCGGGATTCCAGGGAACCAAAATGGCTTAGCCAGCAAATCTCCGAAAATGGTGATGTTGGGGCCCGCCCAACCAGTGAGAATGGGCCGTTCAAGTGTTAAGTATCAAGTAAGTAAATGTCCGTTAAATTAGCACTTATATGTAGTTTGTTTCATCTTAGTGTTTATTACATTCACTGAGAAATTTGAAAAGATTCCAACGTGCAATGATCGATGTAATGGTGTTCAATGATGGTGTAAGCCATTTGACATTCAAATTCTTCAGTTTGATGGAAATATTTAACAACGAGAACATTGACGTTGTGTTGACTCCCAGCTCTTCATCTCTCCAACGCCATCGCTTACGATTCTTCCCTTTCTTTTTTGTTACTCCGACTACATTCAGTTCCGACTTAGTTGGTTTTGATCGTTTTTATCTCTTTTATTGTGTAAACAACAAGTACAACACCATTAAAAGTCTCGAAAAATTATTGCTTTTTGCTAAAAAAAAGCCATCAAGTCCGCAGACGTTGAATATTAGGAGTCACGCAGCTCGTCCGTTATGTGTTACCGCCTCCTTATAGAATATTTTTCCTTTTAAGGATTTTTTCATCATCTCCGGACATAAAACACTTTTCGAAAGTTTATGAAATAACAATGAAGGTCTTTGGCTTGGTCTCTTAGGCATTGCTTTTCCGCAGCATCCAGCTTCCCAATTAGTCCTCCTAGAATCTTTCACACGAACCAAATTTATGAAATCATGCACCGTTTATTACTTGAGTCAGTTATAATCCCTTGTATCGATTTGTCAGTCTACATTGGTGTTCGACTGAGTAGGTTTGAAAACTCGGCTGTTGAATCTTTTTGAGATCACGACTTCGATATGTTAGTTAGTTGAACGAAAGCAAAAAAAAACTTGACTTTTCTTCGATTCCTGAATAAAGGAGTGAAACGTCTAGTGAGGAAATTCACAAGGAGGTATTTCATGTCATATTAAGCTTAAGGCTTAATATGATCAATAAATATTCCAATCGATCAGCGATCATCAACGAAATATATATTTCTCCCAAATTTTAACCTTTTAACATGAGTTCTTGATATCTCTGTGAGTTCTGGCTAAGTTATTTCCTTCGACATTTTATCTATTTAGGTTATTGTTCAGTTTTTTCTCCATATTTCGATTTCTCCCGGTAGTTGGTACTATCCTCCCAACGGTTCACCGCCTCATCGTGGCTGGGAGGTGTTCTTGTGTGTCGGACTGCGATGTACAGACGGGGGATTCGTTTCCCTCGCAGGGTCTCCCAAACTGAGAAAGAGTCCGACGTTTCCATCAAGAAGCCTAACTAAGGGTAAGCCAATGCCAGGATCCATTACCGTCCTGATATCAAAGTCGCATTATGGCAAATCTCCCTTTGATCCACAAGGGCTGCGACTGCCTGTTGTGGTGCAGACTTGGGCCAGACTTTGGCCGGGCTGACCTCGAGATTCCAGGGGACCACAATGGCTTAACCAGTAAATCAGCGAAAAATGGTGGTTGTGTTGGAGCCCGCACAACCAGTGGGGGCGGGCCATTCTAGTATCAAGTAAGTAACCTGGTACTATTGCGTTTTTCAATCGTTTACAACACGACTATACACTTCTATTCACCCATCCGTCTCAATATGCTTTTAATCCGTGAAACTTCACTGTAAGTACTGCAGGAATTCCTTGGCGCATCCCGCTGTTTTATGTGGGCGATATGTTTAAGCGGAAAACGTGTAACCGGTTGCTGTGACGTTTTTGATTAGAGATTTATTTATATATTGTTGAACAGCATGAGCACCTGTTCACTTTGCCCTCGACAGCAGCTTGTTCTCCTCTACTGGATCTCAATCTTATTCAGGTACACTCTTGAAGTAGCGCACTCACTCGTTCTGTCGAGCAGCACTTCCTCATTTCTGCAACGCAGCAGAAAACTGCGCCCTTTCGCCCTTGCAATCCGTCGTCCAAGAAAAACGGTTAGCATATCCGAGGCGTTAGCATAATAAAGATGTTATGAGAAGACTGAAAAGAAATCCTCGCACATCATTTGGCTGATTATTGTGTACGGCGCTTGAAATTCGATTTTTTCGTTGGAAATACGTGAAACGTTTTCTGTGGATATAGTTACGTTGTGCAGTTATTGTTCTTGAAATTTGACAGTCGAACAAGAAAGCATCTGTCTATCAATCGGTCGATCGACTAATCGCAGGAATCGTTGTCGTCCTAGAAAGCTCTTCGTCACAAGGATTTTTACTATCCTCTAGTCCATAGGAGCTGGTGACTGCTTCCGGTGGAAACCTGCATAACACCCTGGCCGTCTCGGCGTTATCTCTAAAAACCGGCTTTCATTAAAACTCCCGACAAGGAATCCATATTACCTTGAACTGCAAAGCTAACACGAAGTTGACATGTTTTACTCACTTAAGTTTTAGTTTCATTATAGTTTTTCTACTCGTTCAAGTTTAAGTTTTATTTTTTCTCTTTTCTATAAGCGTTGGCAGTTTTATAAAAGAATCAGTCAGGTTATTTGAATAAAGCTTCATATAACGTCGTATTATCTTAGCAAATCAGATATGTATCTCGGAATTCATTCATAAAGAGCCACCGCCTGTATCACCTGTAGTACCATTGATAGTCGAGTGACTCGAGCGGGCGCCAGTAAATCTTCCATTTCTCCTTGTCGCGTGCAAAAGTAGCCCAGTGGGTTCTGCTAGCTCTAGGAACTCGTCGAGCATCATGTCTTTATTCAGCGCTCTTTGTGAAGAATCCTGACCATCGGGTAGGTGGTCTTCCTGCAGTACGTTTGACATCCCGAGGAATCCAGTCACTAACGGCTCCTGTCCATCGGTTGTCATTCATACGCATTACGTATCTGGCCCACCTTATCTTCGACTGTTTGACGTACAGAACGGCATCTTTGATTTTTGATCTTTGACGCAGATCGGAGCTTCGGATCCCATCCCCTACTTGTGTGGAACGGGATACACCTACCATCGTCCTTTCGACTGCACGGTCAATAACGCTGAATCCTGCTTACGCAGCGACCAGGCTTTTGATGCATACGTTAGGGCAGGAAGAACCGTTGAATCGAAAAGGTGGGCACGGGGTCGGGTGATCTTTGTTTTCCTCACTACATCCTCGATGCTCTTGAAAGCTTCCCTGGCCGCTT